AATAAAATCATATATTAGTTTATTTATAATTTCTTTTTTTATGTTATATATAATAATTTATCTGCTACCTTTAGTGTCAACTTCATCTATTTTTTTATTTTATATTTAAATAGCCATTGGCTTTCTTTGTATTACCTTAGGCAATGCCTTATTTTCCAGTTGCTTTGAGACTTAATGTAAGCAAGCAACAGATCGAGCTACAGAGCAGCTTCATTATTTTGCCTAAGCCGCCCACAAAAAAAAATATACTCCCGAAATGTATTTTGTTTGCGTATGTGTGGGAGTGTGTGTGTGTGTGTGCTGAGCATTTTTATGCATAAGCCAAATGCCATTGTTGTTGCTGTCGTTCCTGTTGCTGGCCAGCTCGTCAGCTCGACTGTTGTCCGTTTATGTCGCGAAAACTTTGGTGTCCTAATCTGCTGCCTGTCTTGCATACTAATTTGTTTGCTCTTGGTCTGTTCCGCTTTATAGGGCCGGCGAGTCTTACTCTTTTTGGATGCTTTCTTTGTCGCCTTGATGGTTTCTCCCTCTCCCTCTCTCTCTCTCCCTCTCCCTTTTTCTCTTCCTCTCTTTCGGTTTGTTGACAACCCATAGATTATGTTGTTGGTTTTGGCTTTTGTGTGTTGTGCCAGACCAAAGCATGTTCTGTATGTCTGTCTATGTATTTAGACATACATAAATGTATATGTATGTAGATATGTATGTATTCCTGTATATGTGCACCCTTGTGTGTGTCTGTGTATGCTCTCTCAGTGTCATGCTCGTAGGGCTTATGCATTCAGTTTGGCTTGCGGCTCTTTTCTCTCTTGTCCCTGGACTCCATTGGCTTGGTTTCGTTTGTTTGGTTATGCTGCCCACTCCTCACTCTATAAAGCCTTGTTTAGCTGCTTAATTTTTTCCTTTGTCATGTTGACAGCCCTTCGACAGGGTCTCCTGCCTTGTTTCTGGTGCTTTTTTCTCTTCTGTTTGTGTGTGAAGTGTTGCTCGGGTTCATTTTTCGCACAATTTAATGTTATTTAATTGGCATTTAAGTTTATGAAAATGTTTGTTGTTCAGCTGCTGTAACGAATGGCCTTCAAATTGAGTTCGTAGAGAGGCCTAGCAAGTGTCCCAAATATGTCGAGGTCAGCTTTGATGTGGGTTATTCTGGCATCATGACGAATTTATTATTTCAGCAAAATGATTTTCTTGCGTGCGCCAAAAAGTATGCAACACATTTCGCAACTCGCGAACCTCAATTAAAATAAAACGAATTGCAGTTAATTTTGGTTGACATTTTTAAATGCAACGTTAACCACAATATGGCCTCACATATTTTACAATAAATCTTTGCGTTTTTCACTTTCTCTTTTTTTGTTTTCGTTTTTGCAGAATTGATGTTGCAATTTTCTATGTGTTATGCTGCAGCTGCCTACGAGTTACATATGCGCACAAATTGTGCTGGCCTTTGGCGTCCGACAGGCGCCACAAAGTTGACAGTAACACACAAATACATATCCACCCTCCCACACACACACACACACACACACACACACACAAGGTTCGTAACTGAAATAAAAAGCAAAAAGAAAACAAAGAATTTAAGCCACCAAAGCAACAGCAAATGTTCGCTTGACAATGGTGGCAGATTTAAAAATTCAATTTGAAAAAGTCAAAGTGCGGAGTCCACGTGTAGATTCCATATAAAAATATATAAATAAAAGACGAAAATAAATAGGTATATATATGTACATAGATATGTTTATATGTGTTAGCGTATATGCATTTGGTGTTACTGTAAAAATTGCCTATTTCGTTGCATTTGCCACATGGGACTTCCGCTGGCAAATTATATAGTTTTTATTGTCTAACAGTTTTTTGGCGAGTTTAGTGCCGAAAATAAATTCAACTGCAAAAAAGACTCAAAGAAAAATATCAACTAACTCGAACATTTACAAAAAATATATACAAAAAAATACAAGCTAGACAGAACATGGGATCTACGTTGATATAATAAAAATTTAAAAAAAAAAAAAAAACATACAAATCAACAATGAAACTTCGTAGAAAAACAAAAAAGAAAAACATCAGCAAATTGAAAAGAAATACACACTTTACTAGGTAGAAAGTACAAAGCAAATAAATACTACAAATAGATAAAATAACAGAAAATTAGGAACAAGCAAAAGTAATTCAAATTGATTTTAAATAAAAATATTGTAGAAATTTACCAAGAAATAAAAAAAACTCAATGCATATTCGTAAAATTATAAACAAAGAAAAAATAAAAATAAAAAAAGTGCAAAGCAAAAATATCATTTTATAAGAATTGATATGCATTCGAAGGCTATGCTCGTATTTGCATATGTGCATATATGAACGTAATTTATATTGAGTTTTCGATCTTTTCCAAATGAAGTTCGTGAAAAGAGCGCATCAAGAACGCGAAGAAGGCTCTTGCTCAAAACGAGAGCGATTGAATCTGATTTAGTTCGGCTGATCTCACGATCAGAACAAAAAGAATCAAACAGCTTACACTTTTTGGCGAGCTATACCTCAAATATACATATTTCTATTTATAAAACAATAAAAACAGATATGCAAAGAAAATATATTTAAAAATATAT